AAATGAGGGCAATATCATTCCAGATGGACCTCTTGATTCTTAGGACCTGGGATAAGCAACAACTACTTGCAATGAAATTCCTGAAGCGAAGTTTGTAGAGGAGGCCACCCAAGACGGGAAATAAAACCTTGAGAATGAGAGGCAATTAACGCCTTCCTTACTACAACTTAGAAAAGGATTGACTTGCATGTCCTAACCATCTGGAGCAAACATAAACGCCCCGCATCGAGAAAATCCTGACTCATATACTTTAACACCTTGTAATTCTTGGTGTCATGACTAAGTTCCCTAGAGTGGAAAACACACCTATCACTTGCACAAAGTATGGGGCTTGACTAGCTGAAACTCAAGAAAGCATGGAAGAAACTGGGCATAAGACAAGGGAATCAGATAGATCTGTCCTTTAGGCCTCTTCTGTCTTTGCGGATAAAACCATACCCCTTGAATTCACTTAAGGGATGAAGACTAGTTGTTGATCAGGAACTTAAGAAACGGCTAGGTTGTGGAAGAGATCCACGAAATTCTCTATGTTTTAAAGGAAACACCAAAGGATGAGGAGAAAAAAACTCCCATTGCAATAGCAGGTGAACAATTGTCTTCATTTCCCAACATTGTTCTCGAAAATTCCATGATAAGGATTATCCAGCGGACTACTTTCCTCTCTTAAGAATCCCTGAGCACGGATCCCAACTTGCAAGTCTGTCATAAACAAATTCAACTGAACTATCTTCTCAGTCAAATTCCCACAAAGTTGTTCTACAAATAATCTCTGAGCACACAACAATGATGAGTATGATTCTGAAAATAATACCAAGTCTGAATACGAAATACCCTACTCTGGTCACGTAACAGGTGGAAGTCACATTTACAATTATGAAGAGAATGCTGAAGTTGAATAGGAAATCCTAACTCGGAACACCTGTTGTGCATGAGATGTAGGGATTTCATGGTATACATGCAAAGACATGTCCATTCATTTCCAATGAACCCTCGTGCTTTGATTTTTTTAAACAAGTAAGGGATGGAAAATCTTTGCACGAGGCTCAAAGGTATGATTCCTTTGAAAAGGAATGAACATGTATTCTAAAATGAAGTTAACAATGCTAATGAACATACAAATATGGGATCATAGTTTCCATCATGACAAATAACCACTGCATTGTCTCTGAACTAGGTAAATATCACCAGATAAAGGTTTGGAACCAAACTCAGAACACAGCAGAACAAAGTACCATGAAGATCGAAAACAATATGGGATTAAAATCTCCCCATCACAATAGATAACTGATGAACTTGCTTCTGAATAACTGGACGAAATAGGATCAAAGGTCTGGAACATAGACCAAAAGAACCATAGTTACCATCGAAACCATAATCACCATCAGAAACAAAGTCACCAATGGTACCTGTACCTGTAAGAAATATTCCTGCCCCACTTACGAATCAATACTAGGTCAAGGTAAGGTCAATGGTAACCTAGAATCACGGGATCGCTTGAGAGTACTACCATCACACACCTACGCGATAATGATAGCACTTCATTAAAACCCTATCTGAGTATGGACGACACAACCGTCTAGGGTAATCTACATCCCCTATTCGTCGTGTTCCACTTTATTCCTAGTGTCCTAGTGCACTCCAACCTGGGTACTGGGCCTTTTAGCTCAATAGTAACGCCCACCCAACAAAGGAACAAAGAAACCAGCACCACAATAGTATATGGAAAGCAATAAAATGCAATGCCAGTGTATGCTCAGATAGTCATGTACAAATGAATAAACTGAAATCTTAAAAATAAACACCCAAAGAAAAGAAAACAAGATCTAGGAGCGACTTCGGGATGGACCAGCATATGGTCAATCTATATTCCCCAGTGAAGTCGCCAGCTAAAATAACCAGCTAAATAGTCATCTGATAATAAAATCAATGAAGTCGCCATCGAACATCTTTTATCTTGATGAAAGGGAAAGGTAAACATCGAGAAAACCTGAAGAGGGAGAAATCACAGTCTTGCGACCATGGAGATTGGGTAAGGGAGTCGGTTACACGAGGGGAAGGTATTAGCACCGCTCACGTCCATAGTACTCTATGGTATCCACTCTTGTTGTGCTAATTTAAAGGGTGTGTAAAATCTATGTCTAAAGCTTAAAAGCTAAAAATAAAGATGCAAAGAGGGAATGCATGCAGAAGAGAAAACGCAGGGAAAAGAAGGAAATAATTATAAAGTTCGCTCGACTGAGTCCTGTGACTAGATGCCTACATATCCCTTTTTAGGAATCAGAGCGTCGTAGTTCAGCTCACATGTTTTGGTTTGTTTGTGTTTTTTAGTTAAAAATACAAAAGAAAACAAGCAGTATGGCAAAACATTAGACAAGACAATAAAACATCAGATAACAATGACAAAACATCAGATAAAATGACAAAACAATCAGCAATGATAACAAAACATCAGTGACGATGATAAAACATTAAAAATGAATGACAAGATATCACATGGAAACACAAACTCAGATAAGATGATAAAACATCAGCGTGATAACAAAATATCAGATAAGATGATAAAACATCACACCTAATAATGAGATCAGCAATCAAAGTAGGATAACGAACATATGCAATAGCGAAACATCGGCAAAAAGATAGTAAAATATCCTGGAAAAGATGACAATACATCAAAACTTAGATGATAAAAATCACACCTAACAATGATATTGAAAATCAAAGTAGGATAAAAAACATATGTGATGGAGAAACATCGGCAAAAGATAGTAAAATATCATGGCAAAGATGACAATACATCAAAACTTAGATGATAAAACATCACACCTAACAATGATATTAAAAATCAAAGTAGGATACCAAACATATGCGATAGCGAAACATCGACAAAAATATAGTAAAATGTCATGGCAAATATGACAATACATAAAAAATTAGATGATAAAAAATCACACCTAACAATGATATTGAAAATCAAAGTAGGATAACAAACATATGCGATGGCGAAACATCGGAAAAAAGATAGTAAAATATCATGGTAAAGGTGGTAAGATGCCAACTTAACAAGATTTAAAACATATCCAAAAGGCGCACAAATAATTAAGGTTGTTTTGTATTTTTTACCTTGAAGAAAGATTTAAGTTCATTAGAGATGTTTTATGATTTTCCAAGAAAAATAAAAATTTTGTTTTAAGATGCAATATGAAAAGAAAAGAAAAACAACTAAGGGAGACTATCCTAATCTCTAGCCCTAGTGTAATCATACAATGATGGCCCTACGGATGAGTTTTGAAAGGGAAATATCTACCCTATGTTAGCATGCATTGATACATTTCCTAATGTCTAGCCCGAGAGATACTCTAATCGAGTGATCCTAAGGGAAGTATGGTATAGCAAACAAATAAACAAACAAGTGCGTTGGAAAAAGCACACAAACATGAGTAACATATACTGACTTAAAGGGATGGCGGAAACAAGAGAAATATTTATCTAAGGGGAGCGGATCACCCGAAGCAAACAAGTGAGAGACCGATGAAATAAAAAAGAAAAGCATTACTTTAGCTAAGGGGAGCGTATCACCCGAAGAAAACAAGCGGGTAGCAGAGTATCTACAAGAGCCATTACGAACTCCTGACAAAGTGTGGGGGTTGGTTATGAACCCTTCTCCACATGACCGACTCGATACACATGATCTGCACGACTCCGAAGCATCGACATACAATGTGAGCTAAGGATGACACAGACTAGAATGTGTGGGGGTCGATTGTAAACCCTCCCTGCTTGCCTCCTTTTAAGGACTTATCATCTGTAATATAATGCGGGCACAAATGTAAACACATGTGCGAAATACCTACTTCAAAGGTAGGATTTTAAACAAACACAAATAGCATATAGAAAGCACACAATGCAGAATTTCCTTAAACATCTCTTTAAATAAACCAGAGGGATTCCTGACAGATATCAACAACGGAGATCCCCATCATACATTTCTATTCATGCTTCTCATGGTATCAGAAAGCAGTTAAGTTCCTACTTCTCATGATATCTAGAAAAGCATTAAAATGCAAGAATGAAGAATGAAGTCATGATGATACCTAACTGAGTAGGTCTGTTGCCTCTTCAATGTGGACGAGATAAGAAAACTCTACTGAACGCCTCCTTGAATTTCTCCAATCAACCAATGATTAAGCATACTCGGTTTGTGTCAATAATTAATCACAAAATCATAACACGAGCGTCCACAAGATAACTAAGTGTTGGGTGTAGGGAAGTTAAATAGGGTTATGATTAACCAAGTGGTGTACTTGATTAATCTCGTGAGAGTAGGTGCTCCTACCCTCAACCGTGAGACCTTTTATGCATGGAAACACTTGGTATATAGACCAACGTGATTGATCGGGTTATGATTAATCAAGGGAAAAACTTGATCAATCTCGTGAGAATGGCCATGCCTAAACTCAACTATGAGACCCTTTATGAAAATGCTTGGTATGTGGACCAAGGAGAGGTCATGTGCTATAATTGAATGATTATGCACAATCAAACAATGATTAAAACATATAAAAGAAATAAAATTCTAAACTACCAAGAAATAAAATTCTAAGCTATTACAAACCATATGGGAATGGGGGTACAAGTTTATGAATGGGGTGTATCAAATCGAAAATATGATTAAAGGTATAAATAAGTAAACAATACAACCCAATCAAAATATTAAATAACTAATTAAATTGAATTATCTTATTAAATAGAATTAATTAACAAAATAACTAATTCTATCAAATATTATTTTCCAATCTAATTAATTATTTAAAATAAATATTTTTTGTATTTTCTATTATTATTATTTTTATTATTTTTAATTGCTGGAAAGTAATATTCAAACAAACAATACAAAAAGAAATATAAAGAAAAAAGCTATAATTGGGCCTGAATTGAGGAATTCCTAGGGTGTGGACAGCAGGAAAGAACTTAAGCCCAACAAAAAGGGTTTGCGGATCATGTGGTGCTACTCTAGGAGGGTGCACGGTGAAGGTGAGTACGCTGGAGCATCAGATTCAGATCTGACGGTGGATATGGAAGGGTGCATCATAAGACCGATAGAGGGGTGCATATTTGAACCGTTGGATCTGATGTTTACACCTTTTGAGGTCTACCGTCGGGACACAGATATGAGACATTGGATCTGGATTTTTACATATCAAAGAGCGCTGAAGTGAAGGGCCGTAGAGGTTGCAGTGAGATACTTGCACAGAATCGACCAATGACCATAAGGGCGGTGGCAACTATCACCGCTAGATTAGCTGCTTAATTAGATGTTAATTAATCAAAAGTGAATGTTTAGAAAGAAAAAATTAAACAAACGGAAACTAATCCTTATATCTTCTCTTTGTGGTTCTCTCTCCTCTCTCTCTATTATTTAAAAATAAACAACTTAAAGTCCAGAAGAAAAAAAATAGAGGAGATCTGGAGCGCGGTCTAAATGAATGTCTGCGGTGGTAATGATGAAGATTTACGATGGCACTGATGAATATCGACGGCGGCTCCTCCGTCGATGGCTCCGATCTCCACTTTTTTCACATTAATCTCTTTGTCTCTTCTTCCTGAACACTAATATTGAGTTTGATTTTGCATATGGTTAACTGTTTCGCGTAGATCTTGAAAGGGAAAAATGAAACCATAGGATCTCACAAACAAATATCTGATGGTGATGATGCGATTGACGCGCGATCGATGATAAACACTACTTCTGAGTTTACTTTGGTGAGATCCTTCTGATATCTTCTTCTCGGTTTCGCGATTTTTCTTCTTTTCCTCTTCTTTCTCTGTATTATGGATGGTTTGTGAATAGGAAGATGATGATGATTTGTTAGAGTTCCTTGTTGCTAGCTTGATAGCTTCTCTGGTTGTCTTTGTTATTTGTGAACGAATTTTGTTTCTAAAAACCTTCTCTTTTTTTTTGCAATGAATTTTGTGAAAACTTTTTCCGTGATTCTTCCAAAAGTTTGAAGAATGAATCGAATCAGTGTGCAATTGTTGTTTTATAGTTCTGTTATAAGTTGAGAAGTTGGTTAGGACTTGATACAATCTTGGCATTTGATCTTAAAAGTTTGTTACAAGTATTGGAGGGTGAGGATCAATTTTAAATGAAGCTTTCTTGAGAAGTTTTGCTAAGATGGCTTGTGAATCTGTCTGGGCTTTTTTGCAAAACTCTCATCTGTTATATTTTTCTCATTTCTGATCTGTGAAGTTTTACTGATTTCTGATATCTTTTAATTTTCTGAGATGCTATAATTACAGGCTTGCTGAATTGTTTGTTGCTTGGGCTGGAGATGTGATTTCTGTGTAATCATGTATTACTGCAATTTGTAATTCTTTTATTGCGAACCAAGTGAAACTTTTCTTAGTGTTTTTCGTTTGGGATTTGCAGTAGGAGAATTGGCCCATGATTAAATTTTCAAATTTGATTATGTGAAACAAATCAAATGAAGCTTTGTTGCAGCTTAAATGTTATTAAAAACCACCTTTTATCCTTATTCCTATCACAAGACTCTAGTGCTGAACTTTGAAAAGAAAACTTTGAAACCTTTTGTTTATGTTCAAGCTTATTGATGATTGATTGCTAACAAATTTGTGTTTTCTCTCTTGTTTCATGGGCAATTATGACAATTGTGAAGATGGAAAGTCAAGAAGAAATGGAATCCATGGAAAATATGAAGAACTTGGATGGAAAGCAAAAGATAAAGATTGGAAGCTTTGGTCAATAGAACCTCATAGGATGACTTAGAATTTAGAATACTTTTTGATTTGGTTTTGTAAGAAAAACTTGTATTGATGGTAGTGAAGTGTAAAAGTAAATGTATGGAAATACGGTTTTAAGGAATTTTTATAACAATGCTTTGAAGATTTAATGAAGGAAACCAATACAACCTGTGTATTTTTCCTGATTTCAAACTTGAATAACTTTTTTATCAAGCTTGAAAATGCTACCTTTCTTGGCACATTGTGAAGTTTGTTGTGAGATCTTTCCATTGCAAAAAGAATGAGATCATAAAGCCTCCTACATTGTGTGCCCCATGCTCTTGAAGTTGCTTCCATGAAACTGAGTTTTTGCTTGAAGTCAGAATTTGATTTTCATAATGTGCATTCTAATAATCAATTTTGTGCGTGTTTTTCACTTAAACATGTTTAACAGACTTCCTAAACACAATGAGAGCCTTGAAACACGAGATTTAAGTGAGTATTGATGCTAAGCACGTCCCACCTTTCTCATTTTCGGGCTTCACTCAATTTCCCTCCAAACCTCACTATTTCTTGTAATTATTTTCAACGTTCATTTCCCTATAAATAGAGGATCATTCCTCACTCATTTCCTCAAGCTTGGATAGACAAAAAAGCTCTGCCAAACTCTCTTCATAACTCATATTTTTGAGTTTTTGCTTTCTCATTTCCTTCACTTCCAACTCTTATTTCTTAATTGATTATTCACCCTTGAACTTCACTGGAGCTAAAAGAAGAAGAACCAAGCCTTTAAGTGTTATAAATCATTCTAGCCAAGTCAAGTTTCAGAGCAAAATTCTCAGAGTTCGTTCAAGTAGAATTCTTCACCATTTCACTTCAGATAAATTTCTAAGATGTTGTCTCTTCTTCTCTGAAGCTCATGCTTCTTCTGGTTTCCATTTTCATGGCGAATTAATCATTTAATTTCAAAACTCATTTTCACTTTTTCTTCTGGTTTTTTCCAAATCGAGTGAGCTATGGTTAATATAAATTTTTCGTGAGGGTATCATAGGAATCGTCTTGATGAGACGAAGTGAATGGAACCGGTCTGAGCTTCCAATTTTACCGTTTGTGAAACCTGCAACTCGCGTGTCACTGGAGGTTGAAGACGATGACATGTCATCTCTCAACCAATGACAAGATGCCACTTTTTTTTTCAAAATTTGTTTTAAATTAATGATTCAGTGTGTTATTGACTAATGGCTATTACATGCACATCACGCCAGATCCCTTGGATTTGATTACTAACGCATTTTGACAATGATCGGGTGGTCCACATTTTTCGGTTTATTATTATTTTTCTGATTTTTGTTTTAATTGTTTTAAACTTCAAAAATTCATAAAAAAATTCATTTCAACTTCTAAAATTGTGAAAAAATTATCAAAAATACTTCTGAATTTTACTCTTTTTAATTTCTATTTTTTCACAATTTTATCTTGTGATTTGGTATTTTTTATGATTTTTCACTTTATTTGATTTGTTTTAATTGTTTAAAAATATTTTTCGGTCATTTTAAATTCTGAAAAAATTATGGAAGAATCCAATGATCTCTTGACAAATATTGGTGATCTCATTTTATTTTATTTTTTGATTTTACTATTTTTCATAGTTTTTGGCTTATTTTTCTTATTTCTATATATTTTTAAAAAATAGTTTAGGCCTTTAAAAAATTCTAAAAAAATTTGACAACACTTGTTGACTCATGTTTAACCTCTGATATTTTTTTAGAATTTTTATTTGGTGTTTTTATACAAGTCGTATATTTTACCAATTATTTCCTTTTTATAAATCATTTAAATTTTGTTTTTATATAAAATACATTTTTTTATTGGTCCTGATTTGGAGGCACTTGAGTGTTATTTTGGGACAAGTTCCTGAACCTTATTGGATCTTGTGTGTTGATAGGTTGAAAAACCAAATCCATCAAAATGGATGAATGATGTTGATGATATTTGAAACTCTAATTTCATCTGATACATTGGTTACACTATCATTCCCCTCCCTCTTCATCTTATCCCTTTCTTGTTTTTACTTGTGCTATATGTTTTTGGAGAATGATATACATATAATTTCTCTAACATGTTTGGTACATAGATTTCTATTGACCGACCTCAAAATAGGTATGGCTTCTACATAAGTCCACTTATGATTGCTTAACATAGCGCTAAATTTGTCCTGATTCGAAAAATGATCATTCGGGGCCCAAATATATGTTTGCAAGCCCTAGTATTTTTAATTTGAAACCTTGGATCCAATAACATTGAAGTTCATTATTAGAAGGCTTTGATTCTATCAATCCTCTAATGAACTTCATGAAATTTGGTCTAAGTGAATCATTTGAGCATTGTTGATCATATGTGGTTGCCTTGAGTACTTGAAATTAATGATATACTTGACAAAAAAACAAATGAAACTTGTTGTTGAGAGGATTTGATTTTATTAATCTTCTAATGAGTTTTCAAAAGAAAGCTTCAAGATGGTCATTCAACTAACCTTTTATTATATTTGACCTCTAACTTCTAATTCACTAACAATTAAATTTACTTTATACCTTTATTTCGTGCCTTTATTTTGTGCCTTTATTTTTATGTACCATTTATTTTTTAGCATTTACATTTCATGCCATTTTTTCTTTTGCTCACTTGACCATTTATTATTTATGTCATTTTTCTTTGCTCACTTGAGCTTTATTTTCTTTTAAATACACTTAATAATCAACTTGAACATTAAAAGCTTTAAGGTTACTTGGACTACCTGGTTACTATCCCTAGTGAAATTATGGCAACAGATACTCAATGTCACAGTGAATGTTATGACACCGTATCTGACATACTTCAAGACAGTAATTTTAAAAGCAGTAAAGAACACAATCAATTGTTCACCCAGTTCAGTGTGTAACAACACCTACTCTGGGGGCTACCAAGCCAGGGAGGAAATGCACTATAAGAGATGTTAATTCAGGAATAAACCAACCAGTTTATCTCCTTCACTTAAGACCTACCCAATGCAACTTCAATCTAAGTTCAACTTAAACCTGAGTTCCTACTCACTCCCCCTCAATCACAGCAGTGATACTAAACTATTATTTTAAGAATTTATGAAGATACTCTTAAGTACACACACTTGATTTTGCTTCACAGCTTTAATCAAGTAACAAACACTCGTGCTTCAAAGCTTTGAGTGATTCACAACCCTAACTTGATTTTGCTTTAAAGCTTTAATCAAGTAACACAAATACTCGTGCTTCAAAGCTTTGAGTAATACATAACCCTTACAATAAAAACCTACTCCAAGTCACTTATCACAATGATAATTGCTTGGCTCACCGTAGTTACAACTATACAGTCCCTTATTGATCTTGTCAAAAGTTATTCTACACCAACAGTCTTCATGAGGAATATATAGGCAGTTATTCTTCAGTTAGGGCTTCCACGTAAATAGCTAGGGTTAGTTAACCCAAAAGACTTGGTCTTAGACTTCTATCATAGCAAATTAGGGTTAAGAAAAATTAACCTAAGTCCACGTGAGATTCTGATCTAGACTGTATAAACCAGATTCTTGAAAATTCTCAAAAATAACAAATCTGCACAGTTGTTAGATCAGTACAGGATGTCTTAACATTGGTTATGACAACAAGAATCCTGTTTACTGATTTTTCAATAAATATGATCATTGCATAATGATCATCTAAACACTCATATTGAGCAGCTCTTGTATGACATTCTTTTTCTGCAGAATGTACCTAGTATCCTAGAATGTTATGACATCAGTCATGACATTCACACAACTGGTTTTACCAAAAAACATGCCAACAACTAAACACTTACAAACTCCCCCTTTGGAAAAAATTTGTCTAAAACCCATAAACAATCAGAGATTAGAAAGCAGCAGAAATAATAATGTCTACCAAGTCTAATTCTACCAAAATTATCACAAAATCTTCTCCACCTCTTTAGCCATAAATAGGCCAAAGATACTTGTACTTTTAGGTTATACA